GCCCTCACGGTCGGACGCCTGCCAATCCACACATTCATGGCAAGTCACTGCTGGTACCACCTCGAGGGACAATGGCAGACCCGCTCCCTTCATGACAGTGAGAATGAATTTTGCGAAAAACAAAAATAATGGGTTCCCTGTGTGTAAAGTTACGAACTTCAAAAGGGTTCTTACAAATGGTTGCACTTTTTTACTTCCACTGACTACATAGCATTGGAAATTTTTAAAAAAAAATCGGTTACAATGTAAAGAGTAGCAAAACATACGTTGGCAGTCTCCCGCGAAATTAATTTCCAGCCTAAAAGTCTGCATGTTTCGTTGAGGACTGACTATCCTGCGATTGAAAGGCCTTGAGTCCTCCCATCTCTACGAAAAAGAAAACGGCGCAAAGGGCGGTTCCACAGCCTACAAGCATCGCGAAAAATGCAGCCAGGCGCATCCATGCAGAATTTTTCCATATGCCCATGATTGTCAGGCCTATGGCAAGTCCAAGACTGATGTTCGCGAACAGAAGAAGAAATGTGAACAAGAGTAAAGCCTCTACGGGATCGGTACGTAAGGCATTCTCCCGAATAGCCGCGAGATCGATCTCCATATCAACTCGTAGTAAAAGAGTGAGATGAAGGCGGCAACAGGAGTCTCAACGCATAACGCCGGGTGTATGCCTGTGTCTGCCAATCACGGGGCCAGTTGGACTGATCACGTGAACTGGTTGGCCATGATTGGCTGAAAGACAAAGTAGTTTTATTGACGACCTGCTTAAAGGACACGCTACCCAGCGTTGTATGAAGAGTGTTATGCAGCAGAGACCTCGGAATACCCGTTAGCAAATTTACTTCAGATTATTTGCTAGGTTAGTGTAGCCCACATTTTCTAGTTTTTATGTAGCCTATGAGGCAAGCTAGCACAGAAAGACGAAGGTAGCATTCGTCACTGTCTTACCTATTCAGTTGTTGTAAAGCTGTAGGTAAATACTCGGGAAGGAGATATAGCAGTTCCTAATTCAAACGTGTCCATTAGGGGTTTTGAAAGTCTCAGAAACAGTTATTCTTAGAAATGTCTTCCCGATGTTATAGCTTCTAGGTATTTTTCCGAAAAAAATCTGTTCTTGGAACATGTCTATCGTTATATAAGTTAGCAGTTTACCTTGGTGGATGTACAATAAGCCAAAGAGTATGTTATTAGAACTAGCACGCGTTCGTGTTTTTTGGAGGTTTATGAGTGTTAATTCGTGTGAAATTCAGATACTTACCATGGGTTCCGTTGAAATAAGATGTATGTAAGTAT